ACACTGTTGTTGCAAGTCAGGGCAGCCCATACAGAGTCACAGTGACGTATTCACGCTTGATGAGTGTGTGAGTGACAAGCAAGTGTGGCTTCAATGCTTCATGCAATATATAACATATAATATTGTGATAAGCCTAATGTATGCAATTTGCTTTTTGCAGCAAAACATTAAACATTAAATACAGACATGTCTCCCTTTGGATTTCTAACATTCTAACATCTTTCCAATAAAAAGGATGAGCATTTTAGAAAGCACATTCAATCCACCACAAAGTTTTGACAAAACCCATTTGTGTAACAACACTGTATGAAAGACAGGAGTTGGGATTGAATACATTAGCAGGAGTCAAAAAGCTGGGAGGTTAGTCCTGAGGAAGCAAGGTAAGGCAATCACACATGCAGATGCGGTGAAAGTGGGACACACACTCGCTCCAAGAGGGGGATGGGATCACAGGAAGCTGGGCTGGGTACACAGGCAAAGCCACACAGGAGGATAATCAGTCACTCTAGGATGAATAAATGCTCAGCTAGCACTCATCAGTAACTAACACACGGGTGTCAAACTGCAGTCCTGGGGGGGCGGAGCCCTGCACATTTTTGGGTTTCCCCTCATTTAACACACCTGATTTGACTCCTTGTGCTAATTACCACACAGCTCAGCTGAACCGTTTGTAGTGGAGCAGGGAAGGAACTAAGCTACACAGGGCTTCAGCCCCCCAGGACTGCAGTTTGACACCCCTGAACTAACACCTCGCACTGAGAAGACAGGAAGAACAGGTTAAGCAAGGTCTGTAAGTAGCCCACAATCAATCTCCGCTATCAAAATTCAGGCGAGAAAGACAAGGGCAGGAGAACTGGCTGTGATGGGCGATTCCCTCCTTACAATTTGTAGTAGTACATTAGTAACTGTGACAGTTGCTGCCTGTCCTGAGCTCAAGAATGTTTCTGGGCAGTTCTGAGTATAACAGTGATCAGCTTCAGCAGAACTGCAAATGATGCCAGGAGCTACGAAGTAAAACGATTATCTTCGTTGAGAGACATGAAAAGAACATTCCACAAGGGGTGACCAAACCAGAAATACGTCAGATGGTCACCAGATAAAGTCTCCTAGGCAAACACAAGTAGGCAGAAATAGTCTATGCTCTCCAAACTGACAAACAAGAGCTTCAAGACTTAAGTA